CGTTCCATTCAACTGTTATAACTCATCCCCCTCATTCCAATTATACTTTTAAAACCCCTCCCCTAATTAAAATCATATTATATCTCCTCCCCCATTCTAATTATGCCATCATTACTCTTCTTCTTCAATCAATAACAGTATTATATCTCCTCCCCATTCCAATCATACTACTATAACTCCTCACCTCATTCCAATCATTCTATCAAAATTTCTCCCTTCCAATCAATCATAATACCATAATTTCTCCTCCATTTAATCATACTATCAAAACTCCTCCCCTTATTCTGATCATAATACTATAACTCCTCCTCTCATTCCAATCATAACTCATTCCCTCATTCACAACAGACACTCACACATACATCATTCCAGTGTAAGTGGCTGCGAAAAGAGTGTCTTGGTTGTTATGCAGAGAGGAAATCCCATGTCAAAGCTCACGCAGAGGTTCCAATCGGCAACCTGCTGTTACTGCTAGTTTCACGCTTAAAATGTGTCTGCACACCAGGGAGAAGAAGATATGATGAAAAAGAGAGAGAGAGGGTTGTGCTGGGATTGCAGTATGAAGACCAACAACTACGTCACTATTCCCACACACAAGCTCAGGAAGCTCGTGAAAGCCGGGAGAAGGCTTTCTATCATATGTGTGATGAAATTTCCTATTTCCACTGCGCATGAGGTGAAATTGAAGAGACCTAAAGCTTTTGTGTTAAGTAATGCATCAGTCAACTTCACAACCTGCTGCCAGATGCATCTCTCTCCGCGTGTTTCACACCATAAAGAACCTCTTCTCCTCAATCTGAACACCAGCTTGGGTTCAAACCTAGTTAGACACCTTTAATTTCTTCCCTGACACATCGTCAATATTCCTTCTTCCCTTAATTCGGCTCGCTCCCTCTCCTCCAGCGCAGAGTTTGTTCTGTTCTACTCAATTACCCTGTTCAGCTCGCTCCAGTCGAGGTAGAGCGTTAGCAGAAATGATGATGCATTTAAGTCACACACAGTCCAATTCCCTCCAATTAGCAACACACACGTGTAAACACTGCAAACATGCTGTCGAATGAACTACAATCACCCAGAGGAACATTTCACTCCTCAGAGGAGACTTAATGGAGTTATCAGGTACGCCGTGTTTAAGTACTAACTTCAAACATCAGAAATGCTTAGGAGAAATAAAAAGACACAAATGAGATGAGTGTAAACATGCATTACAAGAGTACAGGGGTGTAAAATAAATGTGGAGAGTAGATCTCTGGCTTTTTGATTACAGGTATCTTGGAAAATCTGAGCACAGTTTGAGACATTGTTGAAATCTGACACCCTAGCGGAGAGATATACACTCAATGGCTACTTTATTAGGTAAACCCATTCAAGAGCTCATTAACACCAAATATCTGATTAGCCAATCACATGGCAGCAACTCAATGCATTTAGGTATGTAGATTTGGTTCAAACCAAGCATCAGAATGGAGAAACTTCTGATATACTGGGATTTACACGCAAAACATCTCTAGGGTTTACAGAAAATGGTTGGAAAAAGAGAAAACTTCCAGTGAACGGCAGTCGTAATAGCCTTGTTGATGCCAGAGGTCAGAGGATAATGGCCAAACTGCTTCCAGCTGATACAAATGCAACAACTCAAACGCTTGTTACAACCATCGTAGAACATCTCTGAACGCACAACAACAGCTACGTTTCATTCCAAAGATTCAAGTTTAACCTATGCACATAAAACATTTGTGAATAAAGCACAGTTTCCATCCAACGAGTCAAATAGAACAAAATCATCACTTCCTGCTAAACTGGCACTAAATATCACTAAGAAAAGTAGGAGAAGCCACTTAATATAATAATTTTCATAAAT